TCAAAAGCGGTACCGGATCTAGGCTATCGGGACGGGGAATCTCAGTCTACCACCGTTCTTGGGAGGAAAAAAAAGATGCGACCTGGGTCCATGTCGATAGAGATCTGTTCTGGTGGGGATTCAACGGTGTGACGAGTATTGAGGATCTTCACTCTTACTTTACGTAGATATGATACGTTACGATGGGGTACCAGGCACAAGAGGCGCCAGGCCCATGATTGCGCCCTAACTCTGGAACAGCATAACCCACTGGTTTGAGGTCAGTTTGAGTAGAAAAGGGTAAATGATTTCTCTTTTGAGGTTTCCCTCCCTTGAGACTCTTCACAGCGACCGCCAATATTTCTCACGTCATCGTTTCATAAATGTTAATCGAGACAGAGTTCGCCTCGCATCGTTCGATTGTAGTTCCTGCTTTTCTTCCGCGCAGTCGACCAGTGTCGTCGTCGTAGGCCGCCTTTATCGCTGGAAGAGCCATCTGCTCGAGAGACGCCGACGAGAGCCTCGGTCGATATCGAGGGCTGATGATGGTGGTAATGCCAGTCAAGGCATCACCAGCGGCCGATAAAGCCCTCGAATAGGGAATTGGGAAGGGAGAAGATGACAGTTCTCATTTCGGCCGCTCATTACGCCTTATCGATCAGACCCTGAATCGTCGCACTGATAGAACGGTTTTTCTTCGTGAGATGGGAAATACCGACGAGTGTCGATTCGGAAATGCAGCCGAATGTGAATTCGGTCGCGGAGTGCGAACGGTAATTGGAAGACACGATTGCTGCGAGATTCGGGGCAGAAACCCTTGGAGAGACTCCCGAAATCTCTAACACTCAGGGCCAACCACAGAGCGGGAGAGAGACAGGTTCGTTCCTCCGTGCTTGGAATGCTAATGGGTAAATCTCATTCCGTGCAGACAAGACAAACCCAGTGCAGTTGTAAAAGTCAATGTCATCCTCCCGCTTGCCTTCACCTCCTTCAATTATGTCATTGACGACTGTACACCGTGCAGTGTACACATGCATTCTTTCCCGTCCGGATCTCGAGCCTCTCCGGTGATTTTTTCTTTCGAGTTTATCTTATCGTGAACCGCGACCCGATTCAATTCAGATACGGCCGTGCATTTTTTTCCCTTCTTTTTCCCATTCCTACCTCCCCATTCCCCCCATAAAACGCATTATGCGGTGACTCGGGCCAGGATCCAGTCGTGAGAGAGACAAAATGAGTCTCAGGAGAAAGGGAAATCTGAGGCGGAGTGTGAGTTTAGGAAGATCGAGAAGTCTCAACTGGAAAGGGGATGAAGCTCGATTGTGCCTCATCCAACAGTGGCTCGAAGACAATCGGCCAGGTGATATATCTCGTCTCATTTATATCGCTTTAGTCGTTCCTCATTGTAAAGACCTCGGAGGGGCAAACCTTTCCATTTCATAGGTCTTATGGCCATATTCAAGAAAAATACTAACTGGTTCAGCTCTTAATTTTAGTCTTGCTAAAAGAACCCTCGCTATCGTGAGTTGAACTTACCCGTTGAAAATGACTGTATTCGAACAGATCTCAAAGTACCAAATTTTGACGAAGTCAACCTTTTTGTAAAAATAGTATTGACTAGCACAATAGTGAGGTTTCTGAATACGGCCCTTGCCCGGTCTAGAGCAATCCAGATGAGCTCGTATAGCTACTCCGGTGTGCAGTGCAACCCTAATTAAGTCACCTGTGCTTTAATTTGATTACTTGTGCAAGGCATGATTGAGATTGATTGAGATTGATGATAGGATTATCGGGAGACTCGGGACCATCCACCACTAACGCAAACTGCTTCTCGACTCTGTCCATTCCTTTTCATTTTGGCCTTTTCCAGTTCGGAGGTCACTTATCGGCCGAGATGCCGATTTCATTAAAAAGAAAGTTTCTAGCCGTTAATATGCGCCTCTGCAGTCCTCCGTGACGCAATAAAAATGTTTGATTTTTTTCCCCAAATCCTGCGGAAATATATTATGCAGCAAGGCGAGAGCTTTGAAACTCAAGTTGAGCTTCGCGTCCTAGAAGTTGATGCAAGTTTACGCCGGTCTTCAGGCCTGTCATCTGTACGTGACGAAACGCAATCCAGTAAAGATTTAAGAGTCGATTGGGATTCCAAGAATCGCTGAGAGCGGCAGTCGTTGTTGACATTTTTTTCTTCCCCATGCGGATTCTTCTGGGAATGTACCTACCGTTATCTTATCGACGAAATGTGGACAATAATCCTGCGCATTCTGAAGAATCGACCGATTTTCATTAACGGGGGGAGAATCTTTCGTCTGCCTCTGAGAATGAACGAATATATGATCGACAATGGAGGTGCCAGCAAGTACTGAACGAGTACTGGAAAGAGGGAAAAGGAAGAGCTGGAATCCGGCCAGAGACCAAAGCAGAGAAGCAGAGGAACTGCTCGTGAGGCGTCCGGGCTTTTTCCGCTCTCAGTCCCTCGTGAAACCGTATAGGGAACCGTGATGAATGCGTTGATGTGGTTTTTGGAGTGTCGGATGACCTAGGCGAGATCGGAGGCTCTGCCTCCAGGCCACAATAGACCCATATTTCACGGTCGTGAAGGGTGAAGCCCCATCCTCAGTTTCTCTCCTTTCCTTCGTCGGCTAGGGTCGAAAACGGAGCAACCTTCCCCCATGACCCAAATCCCCTTTCCCCTGCTTCTTCCCTCTTTCCTATATTTATCGCAGGAGGGTGGAAGGGGGGAAGAAAAAAGTGTGGGAAATGCCAGCAAGTGGCCCGTGTCCCTCTTCAATGTCAAGTGCATCATCTTCACTTCCTCTCTTGAGCGACAGGAGGAATATTTCTCGTGAGTGAGTTTCACCGAAATGGCGAGCCCTCGACGCCATCGACTTTCTCAGATGGGTCCGTGGAATCATTTACAGCTGAGTGCATTAGTGCAGTCGTGCCGGGTGCAATACCGAGCACCCCTTTGATGAAGTGTGGGACCGAGCCCAGGTTTCGTTTCGGGAAAACCGTCTTTAGGAAATCCATTTTATGAAATGCGATGAGCTAAAGAGAGACTGTGCATTCGACCCGAGGGGCTGGAATTTCTCGCGGCGCGCTCATGTTTTCCTTCCCGTTCGGATTTCCAAGCTTTTTTTTTCTGTTTTTTTGTTTGTTTTTTTCCTTGTTATCACGTTCCCTATGGCTCTCCTGAAGGTCATGTTTTTAGAAGCCAGAGTGCAGTACATAACCGACACGTAAGCACTTTTGGCCCTTTCAATTCCACGAATTCTTCAGGACCAAATCCGTCGTTTTAAATATTCAACCACGAGCTTAGCAAAAAAATTAGCAAATAACTTACCCGGCTCGAAGAATGTGCATTATGAGAGCTTAAATTCACTCCATGCGAACGCATGAACTGAAAATTCAGGAATTACATGCTCCAACGAGTTCAGGGACTCCCTTCCTGATGTTTTGAAACTTCTTGTGTTTCCTAGGATGGCGTGAAGAAGGAGGAAGAGAGGGGCCATCGTATCCAGGCACTCGCATACCTCTTCCCAGTCTCATCTCTCGGACTCGTTCCAGGTCTCTTTCTCTAAATAGTAGTAATTAGGAACTCCATGGGGGAAGAAAGTCGCGTACAATGTTGAAAACCATTGAGATTTCTTCTGTATGATTCGACAGGGGAAAGCAAAGAGTTGGATTGTTTGTTGCAACAATGAAACTTTCAGTTTTCCATTGGAGAAGCGGATAGAGAAGCTTCTATGGCCACTCAACATTCTACGCGACCCCCCTCCTTTTATTTTATAAATAAATAGAAATGAACATAAATATCGTCGCATAGAATCGTATAGAGTAATAATAAGATTAATATAGTGAGATGGACTGTACAGACGTGTCGAAATGTCGGATCTAGGAGGGAGAGGATGGCGGTGGGGGATTGCTTGGGGCCGGGGGCAACGGTGGCTTTCCTGGTGGGTCCGCCTGGGAACACTGCCCGCATCGAGGGGGACGCGGACATTCTCAGTCGGAAGAACGTCGTCTTCCACCGACTCCTTCGGGGCCCCATGCGGTGTCTCGAGACGTCCATCCGCATCACCGACTGCGATCCTAGGGCCTTTCACAACCTCGTCATGTACGATTCCTGTCGTCCTTTTCTTCCTTCTTTGGGGGAGAGCGAAACGGTCATGCATGACGTGCTCGTTGCCGGCGCTATGAATAATTCACTTTCTCTTATCTAATGCATGATGTGCCGCTATTTTCCGCACCCGTACACCGTGGTCTCATATTATTAGTGTTATCGAGCCGAACTCGTGGAGACAGTTTGTTTTCTCGCACGTTTTCATTATATTGGTTTCCACGAAATCTTGAGTTTGGACACCATTTCTAACTCTCCTCTAGATACTTTCACCTACACGTAACGCAGAAGCGTCGACACAAGAGTGATACTCGAGCATCTTATCTTTATAAATAGGCTTTTCCCACGTGGAATGGAAAGGAATGAACGCTGCTCATGGTAAGAGAAAGACGTGCAAAATTAATATCACCGGTGTCTTTTTTTTCTTCTTTTTCTGACCAATAACGATCGGCGATGGCATTTTTCAAGGGCAAGGAACAGATTTTAAATCTCTGCAGATCGCGGAAACAAGAAACCTTGCGGAAAATCTGTGCAGGACTCTACTCATCCTGCATTCTCGTAGGGCCCTCCCAAGGTAAAATCCATATCGACTAAAATAAACAGGAAAGCCAAAAACAGTTTGCCAGCCCTCAGAAAATCTAGGGAAAATGGACAAAATATTAGCATCTGGGAGGCTGTTTCGCCGTCACGCTTCCGTTGCAGTGGCTTCCAAGCCAGGCGTCACAATCTTTTCCACATTTTCAGGCCACATGCGTTTTACTTGTGCAGTGTATGAGCATGAGCACGGATGACAGATGAGGGATGAACGCATCCCATTCTCTTATGCATGACAGGACTGAGAGGAGAGAGTCCACACCTTTCTTTATACTTTGTTCGAAGTGACGAGGATATAAACTGAAACATGACCGTGTGAAGGGAACTCGGTCGGCTGCACCGTCGATTATCTGACTAAAGGGCGAATACGCGAATTTAAAGATTTTCAGGAATGCAGGAGGTCGCCCTTTTTCAGATTGGCGATTGGCGATTGAAGTATATTCTCCTCTGCAGCAGGCAGATGAGACTCAGCTCCCTGCTGCGAACGCGAATATTCCTTGGTATCATTCACGAGTCAGAAAAGAGTGAATCATTCAGCAAAATTATGACGATAAGCAAATGTAATTTTTTTTTAGGAGAGCAAGCACTCCTGAAAGTGTATATAATTGTATATTCGCCCTTTCTTCAGATCATCGCCGTTACGTTCTTCTCATGATGATACAAGTACCAGCCCTCGGAATCCATTGATAGCCACTATGTTTCTGCGTTATTCCTTGGTCTGCGATGGAGGTTATGCATTTTGGCTCGGATACCTCAGACTCACGAACAGAACGCTTTTTACCATTAAAAATCTGTTAGCACTGCAATTTAGCTTGGATAGATTGCAGGCATCAATATCAAGCCAATGCCACCAATAAATGCCACAAATGAATTAAATAAATCAAAAAGTGTAAGAGAACATAAAACCTTGTATGCAAAAGATTCAATTTTTGCAAGAATTGGAAGTAACGCATTTCACTTTGGGAGGGCCACGTTCTTCTAGTTTACATCATATATCTTCCTTTCCTGTCCCTAGACAACCATTTTGGTTCACGTGGTGCTGATGTTTCAGGTACCTGACGACGGGAAGTGAGAGGATTCAGTCGGTGGAGACGGCCTTGAACACGTTCGAGGTCTCCCACCGATACCTGTGCCCTGAGTTGGCGCTCATCTGCCTCGAATACCTGGAATCTCAGGTGTGTCCCTCCAACGTCCTCTCCATCTATCCCTGGGCCGTGATGTTCTCCAACAACAATCTGTCCCTGGAACCCTCGGCCCCACCTCTGCCCGAGGACGACTTGGGCCACGTGAATCCAGGCTTCGATCCTTTGTCATCCGCGACCGCGTTCCCCTCCGTGAGCACGGCTCGACTTGCAGAGCACTGCGAGGAACTGCTGGACAGGGAGGCGGAAATGTTGGTGCATTCGGAGGACTTCGAGGAGCTCCGGGATCCGGCGCTCCTCCACCGGATTCTGTGCCGGGACACCCTCCAGGTGTCGAGCGAGATGAGTCTTTATTCCGCGTTGATTCAGTGGGCGAAGATGGAGTGCGGGCGTAAGAACCGGGCCTCCACCGTCCCGGAATTCCGCCTTATTCTCGGGCCCCTTCTCTATCAGATCCGATTTCTCACTCTGAGTCCCCAGGAATTCGAAAGGTGTCTTCTCGAGAACGACGTCTTGACGGAGGAGGAGCGGCTGTTCGTTCAGTCTTATCTGAAAGATCACCGGCTCGATGAGGTTCCGGTCGGAATGAGTCCTTACTTGGACGGGATGTCCAGGCCTCGGGTTCGTTTCCCATCCATGCCCAGGGCCGTGGAGCCCAGACCGAACCGACCTCTGCTGCACCGACTCTTTCCGACGAGGGAGAAGAAGAGGACGAAGGACCAGATCCAAAGGAAACAAAAGAAGAAAGAGAAAAAGGAGAAAAGGAAGACGGATTCAGAGGAAGAGGGCTGCAGTCCCAGTTGCTTCTTCGGCAAATTCTTCGTCCTCCTCGCACCATGCTTTGCCTAACGTCGACCATTGCCGCACGTATCCGGCCTTGGGATTTTCTTTCTCTATCGACATTCTTCTAACGGCCGATTGAAAGCCGGCACTTTCTGCTCCTCACTTCGCCATGACTTTTTTCTCCAGTTATATTCCCTGTACAACACGTATCGCTGTCATCAGAAACATCGAGTGTGATATCGCCGAATTTTCACTTGTCATAGTTGGAAAAATAAGTTGAAGTATGAGATATTTAATGAGATGGGCTGGAAGAAACAGAGTATCCAAACCGTAGATCTTCGTTCCTAATATTTATGAGTCACTTCGCTGGCGAAATACGTTCTTTAGTAGCTTCTTGCAAGCTTGTACAAAAAAATGAGAAAAACACATCTCCACACACACTACGGTGAATTTACTGTTCATATCGGTGCTGACACATGTAGAACTGGAAGATTACTTGTTGTTTATTCAAAATATTTATACTGAGGAAAGTTTTTCGTTGCAGAGGAGTTTATCTGTCATCTCGTGTCGTAGAGATAGAAGGCAGGTTACGTGCACTGCTATCTCGTTTTTTCATATTTTGTTGATCTCATCGTGTTGTCGTTTTTACGGTTGTCCTCTGTCGGGTCAGTGATTCACGAAGCGAACAAATCTGTGGTGCAATGAGAGTCAATTAGTCAGTAGAATAGGCCTGGTGCAATATCGGTGAAGGTTCGAGCTTGTGTTCAGCTTTCTTTTTGTTCATTTATGTTTTCCTTGTGATTTTCGATGCTCATCGCGAGTGTAAATGTCAAGAGTATTATGCTGATGACTTGTTAATGGTATTATGATAATGGCAGAAAAAGGGGCATTATTCTCCCCTGTGCCATTGAGGATGAAACCCCGGTGACTCTACGAAGAGGCTCGCGCTACCACAAGCCTTGCCAATTCTTGTCTCTTTTTTTCAGTTCGAGAAATTTATTTCGAGTGTTGACTCTGGCTCATATTCAGTGGGCCTTTTTTTTGGGCCAGTTTGATACCTCAGTTCTGTCTGTCATTTGTGTCCGCTCTCATTGTCCTTTTTCGTTGAGAGAACTCGCTCAGTCGGAATAAATTGCAGTTTGAACCCAATCCAACCAGCCTTTCCATCGGGTGCGACTGTACCCGGAATAGAACCAAGCGAGGAGCAATTAGCTTCGAGACTTAGGAAATAATTGAAAGGAAAATCCACGGACACATGATGGCATCACGCACTGATTCTAAGAGGTCCCTTTGTCTTAACCGTGGCTCTTGGCCATCGGACGCCTGGGAAACACGGGGATGCTTTCCTTTAGTTCCTGGATGCGGAACGTAAACGTGCTCTCCCTCGTTGGCTTTCTGCCCCTTCCTCCTCCTCGTCCGTCTCCGCCTTCATCGACTCACAACGAACGTGCTGCCTCGTTCTCTTTCCAGGTCTCCCATGCGGTCGATTCCAGATCCCTGACGGGCGTGGCCTCTCTGCCTGTTTCGGCACGAGCCTCCACCTTCCCCAAGTCCGAGGAGGCGTCACCTCCATTCCCTCCTCGTGCATGCGACTGGGTCTGGGCACTACCGTTACCTCCTATCATGCATTCAGATTTTCGAAAATTAACGAAGTACAGTATGTTGAAAGGGAGCAAAAGGCAACGTGTTAAGGGCACTTTTCTCTTTAACACAATGCGTTCATTATAAAGTCGATGCCATTACATGCATCACTCATTGATTACAGCCAACTATTTGCGGTAGAAACCCTAATTGAATGGTTAGATGTAAGTCGACGCGACTTCCTTCGGATATACTGATTGCAAATATAATGTCACGGGCGACGTTTGGAGAGAATGGAACGCATGATTCTACAGTAGAAGGCTCTTTACCCTTTCGGCATCAGGTTTTCCACATTTGTACAAACGTACATGTACGGCTGCGGTACCGGATGGGATTCTCTTTGCTCATGATGGGTGTGTCTTACAAAGGTGAGGGATGAAAGGAAGAAGAGTTCTCCTTTGTATGGAATAGCTTCACTCGACGGCCGCATTAGGACCCACCTAACCTTCCTCGCATGGTATTGCCACCGTGCTGAGACTCGGCAATTTCGCACGTATATCGATTCTTCATTGAAATATTTAACCATGTGATGAGGCACTTGAAAATTCAATAGCAGAACGAGAACTGCCCTCATTCCAATGTTTATCACACGGTGGATATCTTGATGCTGTTAAAATCAAAGGACGAAAAGGAAGGGTACGTCAGACACCCTGCCTCAAACTCCGCTTGGATACTTTTAATATGGGTTCCCTCAACGATGGATCCAGGGCCATTCCTACTCGTGTCTTTGCATGACTGCCGTATGAGCTCATAGATTCCATAGTTGGAAAGCCCAGTTCTTCTTCATTCTCTCAAGGGGAACAACAACGATAACTACCGAATTATGAATACGATCAGATCTCGAGGCGAATATCCGTTAGGTTCTGAGATCCCAATTATTCCCAAGTAGCCTCAAAAGGCACTGTAATAAATGAAGACGATTCGAGGGGCGAAGCAGGAGAGCCACTAAAATCCTCACTTACATTGGGTCACGGAGACCAGATTGGAGGGATTTCTCATTGCGTCGAGGAAGAGATTTTCTTTCACAGCCTCCCAACCGTGACAAAGAATGGAATCCTTGGCAAGGCAAGGAGCCAATACGAAAAAGAGTCGCTGGAAACCGTTCGTGGTGGTTCTCCAGCCAGTATGTCTTCTTCCAACTCTGTGTCATACTTTCAACTTTTCACAAGTCTGTATGATATATCAGATGTTCGTTGAGTAGAAGAGGAAAGAAAGGTGGAAGAGGGAAAGGAGAAAGGAAGAGGGGAAGAGGGAAGGGAGGAAGAGGGAAAGGAGGGAGGAAGAGGGAAAGGAGGAGACGAATAAACCAGGGGATGTAGAGAATATATGCTCCTCGTGAATATATGCTCCTTCAAAATTGGCAGGAAAGAGTTGCCACAGGGTTTTCCCGTAAAATCCTTATCGACTAGAAGGAAAAAAAAAATCCCTGAGGCCAAAGAAAAAAAGAAGAAACAATAACTTGCATGGCGAAACTGTTTTTGGAAGGGATTGCTCAGAATCGGCAGCCCTTGCGGCTCTCGGAGGACTGCATTTTCACGCAGTCACCTTCTGTCTGTTGAACCTGACGGATTTCGGAAATGTGTTGGCAGATTGCATCACGCGCTCGACAGCCCAGTTTCGACACATGGGTCTTTCCGTTACAATTGGGTGAGTCGCAGGCCCCTTTTCCCCTTGAATTCCTTTCTATACGAGAAGCATTGGATAGGTTTCTTAAGTATTCTTTCCCTCCTTCCCGAATATATATTATGGGTTTGATGGTTTGGCATCGTTCCCATTTTCGACGTGCAAGACGTTGGCTGGCCTGGGAATCTCGCTGCTTCTCATGACCCCTTTCGAAGCAGACAAAGGCTGTCTCATGCAGGTCTACTGCCCTCGCTTAGATAGCGGTAATTATCTGAAGCAAGTACAATTTCAGGATTATATTAATGGTACCTGTGATCTGATCATGTTCTTTTTTCTTTCCGGATAAACCAAATATACAAAAATGAGAAAGTTCGTTTTGTCAATAGAATACGAGCAATTACGTTTATGAAGCTGGCTGGGCTAGGGAGAAGTAATCATTTTTCGATCATCTTTTTTCTTTCCGGATCTTTCATTGTTTTAGCGATTCGATATCGAGAAATAAAACTGGCCCCAATAGCCCGAGTCTCATGAAATGTAATTACTCGACAAAACGAAAAATGATACTTGTTTTCCTACTCCATGGAGGCTCTTCCCTCTTTCTCTCAGCTGTTAAGATTCAGTCTTTCCTAGTCTTCCCTAGTCTTCCCTGCTCTTCCCTGGTCTTCCCTGGTCTTCCCTCTGTCAGACCGTCCCGTATTCTCAACTGAGGTTGGACGAGATCGGCAACCGAGTCCGCATGTCGTCCGGTTGCACGTTTTTTCCCCTCAACTTCAGTTGGTTAGAAGAGGGTGGGGGGGGGGGGCACCATGAGTCCCTTTTTTTTGTGGACCTGCAACTTATGCATTTTTATTCTTCTGAAGCAATGGCGGGCGCTGCGTGTAAAGACTCGCATCATCTGCGCAGTCCTTCGTTTCGAAGTTCTCAGCCTCCAAGTTTCAAGCGACGAAGTAATATTTTAATTTGAGGCCCTATGAGTCGGCACAGGGCATTACGAGTCGGTATGATGGGTCGTCCCCATCATCATCAATGCTAAAATGCAATTCAGTTGGCCCAAAGTCATCTTATAAATGAGTGTTCGCATCACTGGAGGAGAATACATTTCACCACAGTTATCTGGAAGAAGAAGGAACCTTTAATCGAAAAGTAGACAGACAATAACAGTACAGACCAAAAAATTGAAAGACGATTAGCAGACATCGAGGGATACGAACGACTCAGAAAGTAAAGCATCTGGCGAGCCATCGTTCCCCCTTCAATTGGTCAAGGCAAAGAGCTTGACGATTCTGTCAAACCGAAATTAGAGAGTTTTGGCAACCCGTTTTTGCGGAGGACGGCGACGTGAACGTAT